ACACACACACACACACACACACACTGACACACACACACACACACTGACACACACTGACACACACACACACACACACACACACACACACACACACATATATATATATATATAATACATATTATTATACTACTACTTTTGTGTTAAAACAACAAAAAATATAGTTGTAGCCAAAATAATTATAATTTTAACTAGATTAACCACTTTTTCTTTCAATGTAAATAGCATGAAATCTGGACACTCTACCTTCTCAATCCTGATTTCATACCATGTGATAACTTGAATAAACGCTCGAGTAGTTTAAGCTAATTTGCTTTAAATGCCAACTTTCTGCTGTGTCATTGGTAGATGTTTATGCAGACCAGCTACGAACGAAGATATCGTAACAGGAAACGGATAAAATGGTTTAATTTAACCGTTGTGAATCATCATGTTGTCATTAATGAGGCGCACTGCAACACGTGACATCTACGAGTCGCGCATTGTATCAGTTTGAAATGAAAATTTAATACACACATAGACGGGTTTGTGTGTGTTATATTCTGGAATATCTATTTTAAGAGTTTATAAGCGCATTGCGAAATATGCTGTGAGAGGACTGTCTGGAGTATCACGAAGATTCTACACAGAAAAAAGTTATCTGTTAAGGAAAGCAATTATTCACAGTTTACTTTCCTTGTTTGAAGTAAAAGTTATCTTCAGCAAAAAATATTCTCTTGATAATAGTATTAAATATATTCTCAAACTTCAGGAAAATTCATCATATATTCAAGAGAAAATTTTATTTTCTTTGCAAGAATATCATAATCTTGATTGAAACATTTTCTAAATTTATTAGAGTTCAGATTGCATCTTGAATAAATTTGATGCTCGTGATGAAAATTTATGATAGATTTACGGATATATGTATAAACTTATGAAATACGTGAAACAAGTAATATTTGTTCGAATGCAGTGTTAATTTTTCTGTGTATTTTTTTGTGTGTATGCAATATGGTATTTTTGAAGAAGATATCGTTGAGTTACGTAACTACAGCTACGCGCCTTCCTCGGCTCTTGCAAATCCCACTTCCGTTTATACTTCGTTCCTGCTGACACTTTTGCAATTTACTTCTCTGTTGCAGCAATGTGATTACGCACATGCCTCGTTATTAAATTAAATTGATCTCGAATATGACCTGAACGGCTTTTTGCAGACGGAACACCTATCGCAGCTACATAAATTCATATCCGTTTCTTCGAAATGTTTATAAAAAACGGTCTTATATAACGAACCAGTCTAAAGTGCTACACGCCGACAATGCACGCAAAAAAAAACTAGCTTCCAGAACTAAAAAATAGCTGTGACAGATAAGATGTGTCACTGAAATAGAAACAGCTAATGTCTATACTACACTGTAAAAACTAATGTGTTAAATTTAACACATTTTATGTGTCCCAAATTATCCACTCTCATTTATGTGGAAATTTAACACAAAACAAATGTGTTAAAAAGTAATACGTATAATATGGAAAAAAATAACACTTTAGAGAATTTAATACTTGAATAATGTTATTAGGAATCACAGGTTGTGTTAAATTGACATATTTAATATGTCAGACATAGATTATGTCAATTTAACATTTTCATTTCATCAAAACCATAGATTAATACTTCTCTCAAATGTTAAAGTAACGTTTTATTTTAGTTAATTTAACATTATACATATGTCAATTTAATACAAACTGTGATTCCTGACGGTATTCAAGTGTTAAGTTCCTGTGTTAATCTTTTACATATTATGCGTGTTACTTTTTACCATGTTTGCTTTGTGTTAAATTTACACAAATGAGATTGGATGATTTGGGACACATGAAATGTTAAATTTAACACATCAGTTTTTACAGTGTACCGAAGCTAAATTTATTCGCTGTTTAAACTTAGGCGCTGTTTAAACTACAGCGAGAAATATTAGCTGCTAGAAATAAATGTCTGTAACAAATAATTGTAGCTGTGTGGCAAACTTCTTTAATATATGCATACGATAAGAAATTGAGGAATAATTGCCAATTTCGTAGCTACTTGAAATAATGTGCATTTTTAATGTCATTAATATATTTGTAATACATAGCAAATACATAGCGAATGTATTTTAGCTGTCATAGCCATTTCTTAGCAGTGATAGCTAAACGATTAGCCTTTTGACTAAATTTGGATCAGCTACCGCGGTTTAGGTGATATTACTAAGTCATTTTTTTCATGTACCAATTCGCAATGTTATCCTATCGCAGAATAGAAAAAAAAATAATACAGGATGGACTTTTATCCTCTTAGTCAAGATTAAGATAAGATCGCCGCTTTCTTTCACGCTCCTTCGAACAGGTTTTCTCCAATGACGGACAACGATAGGTCACACTAGCGAGTAACGTATATAACATTATACACATAAAATTTACGACATCGTACACACATGTAACATAATCAACGGCACAGACACGTGACAGGTTTCCTAAATAACTTGCAACATGCACCACTTGTAACAGAATTGCAGGTCGCCGTTCGCGCGCTAAAGAATTCGTGTCTTATCTTCCTTTTTCTTCAAGATATTTTGCAAAACACACGACGTACGTTCGGATTTAAGGCCTAACCAGAGCTATACGAGGAGCGCGTATTCGAGAGTAGACGCGGTTTTCGAATGCCATGAGTCGACGTTCGCTCGCCGGTGCCGATCGCACGATGATGCAAGCAGCCTAAGGTTCACCTTGTTGAGGCTTGCACGAGGCTAGACGCTTACCTCATCTTGTTGTTGAGAATCTTTTCGCAGTGTTGAGTCAGTTCAACATTTCTATTAACATATCTCCGAGCAAGTGTCATCATCGTAGCCAGTGGAGCCGATTTACCGATTTCAAATGGACGGAATTGTCATCTGATTAATCGTAGGTTAATTAGCCGAGGGAAGATCGTTCCATTGGCCCAACTTGGCCTTCGTTAACCCTTAAAGTCCTAAGTCTTTCGTGCTGATCAAATTTTAATGAGTTGTATATATATTAAGATGTTTTTAGTCATTAATCCGAAACGAATCCGAGGTCAGAATTGTAAAATTCAAAATAACTGATCCAATAAGGCGATCATAAAATATTGTAATTTAGTAATTACGAACAAATTTTTTGTTAAATAAATATACAGGGTTTTCTGGTCGCTTATGAATATAAATTCTAAATTGTAAAATTCTCAAAATCATATATGACACACACAGGGGATGTCTCAGAACAACCTTCAAAACTCCCGGGGAGGCATAGATCGAAGTAAACATAAAAGTTCTATATCGTTTTGTGATATTCGTAGTGTGATTACTACAAATACATTGTATTTTGTTATCATGTATACAAAGTGTCTCACAACCACCGTAAGATATTTTAATAGCATATTCTGAAAATAAAGTAGAGTCGAAAATCCTAATACAAAAATATCGAGGCTATAGTAGTTTTTAAATTATAATCGATTAAAGAGATTAATAGAATTCGCAGGCCCGTAGTTATATAGCACGCACATTGTTTTATTATTTGTTATCGACTTCACAGTTAATATTGATTTTTACTTTTACATTTTTGTATTAAGATTTTTTTACTCTACTTTATCTTCAGAATACGCTATTAAAATATTTTACGGTGGTTGTAAGACATCCTATATATATTTATATAATTTGTAGACATTTATTATACAAAGAACCGAAGAAGCACTGTTTTCAATACATTTTTAACATTTTTCAATATAAAATATCTTGTTTTTGTACAACAGACATACGTTTCAACTAAAAAAACATTTTTTTAAGTACTGCAAGAATTACTAAATGCATATTATTTAAAATATATTAATCTGTTCCAAAGTTACAGTTATTTAAACACGTTTTTGGAGCAGTATATGGCCCAGGACTGGAAAGATTAATTCACTCTCGTTGTGTTTTATGCCCTATTTCGTCTTGCAATTTCTTACGTGCGTAACGTTTTACGCAATACACTGCGTTTAGCTGCTGTACAAATTGCTTTGCTAGAGCATGAGCTAACGAGACGTTTCACCTTGATCTTATCGCGTAACAGGAATTATTTCCATTAGACAATGATTTTTTTCCAATAATAATATAAGAAGAAATACATAATGAATGAGCACAAAAATTCTCACGAAATCAAAGTTCGCCAGATGCGATAGTTCAGTACGATGATGTCCGTCGACGTAATTTAAATATACGCAATTCAAGCGCTACATCGCAACATTTGTGATGTAAATTCCAATTAGATTCCTTTCGAAATCTATAAAAATATCAGCATAATATTTGTCAGTTTGGAATACAGTATTTTGCGAATGCAAAAAACGGTGATATAAAACGATAATCTTGGAATGCAATTTATTAAAAGTAAAAAATTGTTTATCGTGTATTTGTATGCTTCAAACGATTATTGCTTTATCTATAATGATATGATCTGTCACGATACGCAAGTTGTGAATTTACTTGTTGTGTCACGACGGAAGGAAACGATAGGCGAGAAGACGGAAGTTGTCGCAAAGCAATGCTGCTTTTGAGCAACATTGTTGCGGTAACACAGTCGGCGACATTTGCGTGTGTTGCGAGTTCTCAAGGAGACACAAAGATACAGAAAGAGAAGGGGGAGGGAAGGGAGAGAGAGCGAGAAAGAGAAAGAAAGAGAGAGAAGAGAATGACAAAGAGAAAGAAGATAGCGTGTATTATTCGACCGGAAGAAAATGGGCACGGCGTAACTTCTGACCGCTGATACAAATTGCACCTGGGAAATGACTAGTGGCGCAGCGGCATGTTGCGAAATGTGTCAGGGTCATCCTGTTGCATCTACAGTCCGGCGCTTTCACTAACAGCTACGTTACGTACTTACGGTAACGCGATCTCATGCACACGCCGTGCGCTCTGGCGAGCGCTCGCTCGGACAAAGACCCGTTCTTGGTTCGCGCGGACGATCAGCAGATCGATTGATTCGCGATTATTGCGCGCAAAGTGGATCCTGTGGAAAATAAATGACGAATAAAACGGGGTCGACGAGGAGTTTATGTAATTTGGCCCTCTAAGCCGACCGAACGATCCGGTAATGGAAAAGACCAAGCAAAGTAGGCAAGATGGAAAAGGCCAAGCATGGGACGCAAGGTGAGTATGTGCGTGTGTGTGAGCGCGTGTATTACATTTCACAAGGCAATCTATGCACAAATCTTTGGGAAAATTGCATGGGATCCATTCGCGTCGTTGCGTGAGCATGTTATCATTAGCGATAACACGTGCACACGATAGATTACAATAATTCGGATCTGCTAATATATAACGGCGTCTCTGTTGGCGTAATCTAAGTACACGTTACTGGAGCTGTCGCTTTTTGATGATATTTCGTCACTGAAACTTTCTGCAATAATAATAATAACATATTTCTCACGTGCGTGTCTACGTACGCGTTGCACTTATCAGTGATTGCTCGTCAAGTGTGCTCGGCATGCGACAAAATTGTTTGTTCTTGCGTCACTTTATTATTGCGTTACCTTTATTATATGCACGCTAACGTCGAGTTCCGTTCGCGAAACATCACAGAATGCACATTGTAGCAAGCTGAAAGTGGCGCGCTGTCGTAACAACGTTGCAACACACGCCTAATCAAGAAAACATTACGTTAGACATTAAATATCGGTCGTACTTGTTCTGGCTTTTGCTTTTTGGTCCTAAACACGCGATAATTTCTTCCGAATTCCTACGGGGTAAGGTAATGGAATTGGACAAGAATGAAATTGAAGGAAAATCACCGCGTTGGAAAAGGACAGGCCATTTCTCGCATACTCTTTGCGTACACATAAAAAATGGTTTTCGCTCGATGCTTGAAAATTCTCTCGGGCTCTGAAAGCATGATAAATCGCGATATAAATGAGTTCTCCTTTTTGCGAATCGCGTTAACTCGTCCGTGACGCAACGAACGCCCTTACGATCAATCTTCGTCCTTCGTGAAGATAACGACCAAAGTGCTCCACTCCTTTCTTTTCTTTCAACCTTGAAGAATTATCGGCCCGACCGCGGCGCCTGCGTGATGTGCAATTGCACGCCAACGCGTGCAACGTGTACCGATCTCACGATTGCACTTTTCAACGGTGCTATCAGAAACGTGAATTGTGACTTTCTACGCGCGCTTCATATCACTGATAATACATCAAGACTTTCGTTTTGAATACCAACATGGTCAACTATTCAAAATAGCAAGATCGTTCGATTAGTCTTTAACACGGTGCTTATCTCACCGAGACTCATTATTAGAAAGTCGAATGGGTTAAAATACCGACACACTATCTCCGCGTATTATTACGTTGCGTTGTTCCTGTTTCAACGATTGCGCGCGGTTTTATTTCTCGAACTCGAAAGTGACAACGTTCACATCGTCTCCTCTAGATTTCATCGAATGAAACTCCGTGAGAAACGGTATATTCAAGCAATTCATTCTGACAAAGGAACCGTTATTCTCCGTTATTATGTTCGACAAATGTTTTCAAGCTGCTTAGATCGCATATATCATTCGTCTCGACCTTGTACAATAATCGCGCGCCGCAAATCCGATTCCGGTCCAATCTTCTCTCTCCGATGAAAGACTCTTCGATATTCAAACGAGCTGTGTCTGGAATTGGATGTTTGTGCGTTTACAACCGCATGTTTACACGCGGAGGCATGTAAACCGTTGCCTTCGCCTGGATTTATTTCTGTGCATAGTGCATAAACTCGTTCCGTCTTTATTCCGAGTAGCGAATCCGTTAGAACAGATTACAGAACCGTCGTTCTTTGTATCAAAGCACATACACTGTTAAATCCGTAGTGTCAAATTATACTCAATTTGAGTTATTTTTAACCATTCCTATAAGTCGCCACTGTTCCTACTAAATATGTCGTTAATTTAACTAATGTAATGGAGTTAAATAATTTAACTTAAGAAATGTATTAAATTTGACTAAAATTTAGTTAATTTTTATTATGTGCATATGTTAATGTAACCTTTGTTTTAGTAAAAAATGACTTAATATTGTGTTTTAAATGGATTAATTAGATGTAGTTGTTTTTTTAAACACATGTTTTGTGTTAAAATAGTAAATTTTGACACATATGATAGTTAAAAATAACTAAATATTATTTAACTCAAGAAATTGGTTTAAATTTGACCCTCCAATATTTAACAGTGTATCCGTATGCAACGACATTCCTGAGACAAACATCGCAACCTGCAGAACGGGCTCCGATATACGAAAAAAACTGATGGCCGTGAGATATAATGGACGATGCATCGAGGACTTTGTTTTGACCTGTCTCGTACTTTCTTTTTCTACGCATAGCATCATGCGAGGTTCAAGATCTCAGGGAGTCAAAGTCGATGTGATAAATGCAACATGATCATAGAAAAAATTATTACAAAAATTATTTCACACAATACAAAAACATTTATAACTCTTGAGGAATTTACAAATAAACATCACTATACAACTGACACTGAAATAGTTATATCATGGATCCACAAATGACTTTTAAAATTAAGATTTCTAGCCAAAATCAATAAGATCTTGAAAAAAATAGAAGTGCTATAACGAGACTATGTCTAAACATGTTTAGTTCTTTGAACATAAAACTCGTGTCGAGTCATAAATATTGGTCGTTGGTTAATTACGAACGTTATACAGCGTGTCCTAGAACAACCTTCGAAGGTCTCGTGGAGACATAGTACAGATTAAGGTGAACATAAAGGTTCCATATCATTTTGCGATATTCGCAATAACTGATTAAAGAAGATTTGTGAATGATCACACGAGATGTGGTAGATGAGCTAGAGTGGTGACATCTGCCGTTTGTACACTAAATCAAACTGAACAAAAAGGTTTTCTACCCTTTTCCTAATAACAGATAATATATTAATGTTATTTTGTCTTTGTAGATTTTTACTTATTAATTAGATAACATTCATATCGTGATAGATTATTCGTCAATTGTCTTTAATTAATAATTAAAAATCTACAAAGTTATTAGGAAAATAATGGAGGACATTTTTGTTCAGTTTGACCTAATGTAAAGCACACGGATGGCAGACGTCGCCATTACAGCTCATCTATTATATCTCGCGTGATTAAATCTTTTTTAATTAATATCTCGATAATTATTGTATCACAAAACGATACAGGACTTTTATGTTCATCTCAGTCCGTACTATGTCTCCACGAGAGCTTTAAAGATCGTTCTGGAACACGTTGTAGAATTCCACACTGATACCGTAATGCTACCATAGACACCATGTTAACAAATCAGACAGGATCTTCAAAATAGAAAAAACAGAGGGAGAGAAGAAGAACACATTAAACAGAAAAACTTGCTGGCAAAACTGGAATGCCCGCAGATAAAGTTTTTGCTCTGAGACAATCGACCCCGTAAGTCCCAACCGATAACTCAAGTTAGCTGACAACTTCTTTTTTTTTAAACCGTGTCCATCGCGACGACAAATGAAGGAAGATGACCCGTACAAAAGTCGCAATTAATCCGCGTATCTCGCGACGCAAAAGACTCGACGGACTCGAGGCCACGGCGGAATTGAACGATTGACAACTCACCGGCTGACCGGTGGTGCG